TCTTTAACAACGCTGATCTATTATTTATCCTTCAGGTGGAGGAGGTTCTCGGAGAGGAGCCAGATGTGAAGGAGCAGCTGTTTGACGTGTTAAAGCAGTACGCCTCAGAGAGGGATGTGGAGAGTCTGGCTGAAGCCCTGCCTGATATTTTGATCACCGAAGAGCATCAGCAGCTGATCGACAGTGTCAGGTAGGGACGCCTAGCTACAACACCGAGCCACATACTCTCTAAACGGGTCCCTTCAGAAACAAGACTAATAAAGTGATAAAAAGATAAATATGTTTTTCCAGAGTCAATGTCTTTTCATCCGCTTCATCCCTAATTTATGTGATTTCATTTCAGTGCAACAATTCAACAAAAATCCTAGAGAGGTTCAGTTTAGGCTTCTGTGTTATCTCTACTGCCAACTAGTGGTTAATGGGTAAATTCACAACGAGTGTATAATAAACAAAGTCACGTGTACCTGCAAAGGTGATGCTAAATTAAAGATGTGGTTGACAAAAAAACACATTGTTTTAATGTTTTCTTTCTGATTATAATCGATAACTCTGAGTTTTTCATGCAGCCTGAAGATGAAAATAGTCTCCTACACCTATCTGCTGCATTCTCTTCTGATAGAAACCAGTTGGTGAAACTCTAGGATTTGAAAATCCTGGCAGATCTACATCACGCTGAATTAGCATTAATGAACCCACTGATGTTGACTCATGACGGGGAAGACTGTTGTTGTTTTAACATTTGGGAATCAGCAGAGGATGTCTTGGCTGTTAGAAGCTCTCCGTTAGCATCAGCAGCGTCACCACGCTGCAGAAGCTCCTCCAGTCTTGTGTTTTTTGTGGAGATAAAACATCCATGTTGCAAATCAGTGGTAGAGTTCCATTGCTATTATCCAATCAGAGGCGAGATTGTCAAATATCAGGAAACAAGACTCCAAAACCTGCCGTCTGAAGCTCAGCTGTGTGGGCAAATTTTAGGTCAGAGAAATGGTGCACCAGCATATTCCCCCCCCCCCCCCCCTAAGAACGATTTGCTTTTTCATAAAGTTTCTTAGCTGCAAATATTTGAAGTGATTGTGATTTTTTAATTTAAAGTGTTTCTGAAAACTAATGACAGATCTTCATTAATGTACAAAATCCTGTTGATTCCATTTGAGATTCATTGTTTGTAACCTCTGTTTAGTGGCTGTAGATCCCTTTTTAATTAGTTCTAGTGTAAGCCAAATGATGGTATTTAAACCCTTTCTGTCAGTAATTATCTGCACCATGAGTTTCCTTTCCATGATTATAGTTTGATGCATTTTCCCTACAGCTAGGTATTAATGGACCACTGATATGATCTGATTTGTATTGTGTTGAGAGATTTATGAGTTTCATGAATCCTTTCGTGCATTCCTGGGAAAATGAATTGATGACTAGAGTCCTTTTTTCCCATGTCCTTATGTAAACCAGTGTATTTCTGAATAAATGATAAATATTGTCACAAACGTATAGAGCACCAAAAAGTCCGTATTGAGCATAGCCCCCTAGGTATCTGTTTTAGTGAACAACAGTGGCGCCAAATCTGCCTGAATGTGACTTTTCTGTATCATGCCTGTGTGCCAGATGGGCAGTGCTCTTCTCTGTAGATCATATTTCTAACTCCTCAGCACTGATTGGAAAATTTAAACCCCAAACACAAAGCCGCTGTTCACACTTGCATTTTCTTTTTCTTTCTCCTTTTTTTTGCTTGTCCCATTCTCTCCATCTTCTCTCTTCTCAGTGACTTTCTCTCAGATGATCTCTTTCTTTCCCAGTCCTCCTTGTCAGCTGTGATTCTCCCAGTGATACCGTCCTTTTTTTAATTATTAATTTTTTTGTGGATGCTCATTTTCCTTCCTCAGCACACAGCTCATAGCTGCCGCTGCCAGCTTGCTGCTGCTGCTGGAGATGTGCACACGTATGAATACAGACACTCATGCAGATGCTGCACAAAAACGGCACAGATCTTTATGTGTGTACTTGATCTGAAGTTCCAAGAAACTATGAATTGCTGCCTGAGGTGAGTACGGGAAAGCAGTTGTTCTTTGAAGAATGAGTTTGGAATTAGCTGTCACAGATTTGAAATGTGGCATTTATAGCTAACTGGTGAGTAGTTTGTGACTGCAGATTTAGACCAGCGTTGGCTCATCTTGTCTCGTGAGTGATCCGCTGAAGAACAAAGATTGTCTAACATCTCAGCTTCCCGAAACGCATCTCTGTCTCCCTCGGTCTGATAGATGTCACCGGTCTCCTCCTCATGAAGCTGCCTGTGAAAATGCTTTGTAATGTTTGTTTTGCACTGGAGTAAATTATGCATCAGCACTGCTGTTCCTCTGCTGTTTAGGCACCCAGAAGGTACAGGGACCCCAGGAGAAGTGATTCATCTCATCAGATAACTCAGTAGTTTGTTAGATTCAGGAGCAACGCTGACCTCTTTTATCTGTTTGAGGATGACCCCTTTGTCATAAGAACAGCCTTTATTTCATGACCACCAGAAATATTCCTACCAAAGAAAGGTGCTCCCAGCAGAAGGTGTGGCTCATTTTAAACAGCCATGGTGTACTGTTTGGCCTCCAGGTTGCCCCTGAGTAAATCCTCAAGGTGCTGTTTTGGTGTAAATGGTTTTCTCTGATTCTCACAATTAGACATTCCAGTTCAAGAATACTTTAATATTTCTAGAGGGAGATTAGATGTTGTATTATCTTGTTATTTCAGTTTCATAGAATTTTTGTAGATGTATAGATCAATCTGTGGGCAGGAAGGATCTTCTGCAGCAGATCTGAAGAAGCATCTGACTAAAGATGCTCTGTTGTTGAATTACTGCCATGTGGAGAGGATGCTCAGGGTTGTCCATCACATTCTTCATTTTATGATGCATCCTCCTTTGTCCAACCAACTCCAAAACAGAGACAGACTTTTTTAATCAGCTTTTTTGGCTTTTTACAATCATCGGCTGCCCCAACAAATGACTGCAGATCAGATTGCATTCTCCACACAGGCTTTAGAACAGTGGTTCCAACCTTTATTCCTCAAGGACCCCCTCGCTCATGTCCAAGACAAGCCAGGACCCCCATCCCAACTCCAAACCACATCCTAATAACATTAAAAGTGATTAATTACAAGCTGTAACTAGAAGAATAACTCATACTGAGCTTCAATTGAACCATTGGGTGTGTTATTGGGATTTTATAAATGTACATTTGACAAATATAATGTTCTCAGTCTCCATGCAAACAGTCTTGTGGGGACCCCAGGTTGGGAACCAGTGCTTTAGAAGATGTAGAACATTTTGCATCAAACAGTGAAGCATCTCAGCTTCCTCCAGAAATCCATTCTGAACCATCCCATCTTGTAAATCCTTGGTTCTTCTAAAATCCTAAAATCCACAGCCATCTCCTTTGTTTTGTTCACATTTGAGATGTAGCCATTCCATTCCACAAACTGGTCCACCAGGTTTCTTTCCTGAGTCTCATGTCTATATCTGGTATACCAGATAACGGCAGAGCCATCTTAATGTTTCTGCAAATGACAAGACTCTGAATTGTACTGGAAGTGTGTGGTGTTCAGAGAGCACCGTTCCCTCTGGTGCTTCTGTTGCTGACTGGACACCACAGTCCTTTAGTCCAACAAAGTGGGGTCTGTTTGTCAGGTAGATAGTAATTCGGGTAGGCATTGTATCTTTTGGATCTTCTTACAGTCATTAGATTGTATAAAGGCACTGGCGAAACCAAAGAACACGATTCCCGCCAAGCTGCCTTCTTTGTCAAGTTGTGGTGGTTGTCTTCTACTCCAACCCAAAGCAATAAACAAACTACAGATGGTCCTGAAAGTTAGCTCATTCAGGTGGGCCAGTCTCTGTAGGACTTTCATGATATGTGTGATGTTGGGGCAACAGGACTGTAGTTGTTAAGATGGATGGGATATTTTAGGTATTTAAACAAGGCAGATTGTCCTCCACAGCATTGGAATCTTCTCCTGCTACGTTCGATGGGTCAGGGATCCAGGAAACTGTTTTAGGATTTTAGAAGAACCAAGGATTTACAAGATGGGATGGTTCAGAATGGATTTCTGGAGAAAGCTGAGATGCTTCACTGTTTGCTGCAAAATGTTCTACATCTTCTAAAGATTTGTCAACTGAGACTTGAAAAGATAGCTCAGGATGTTTAAAGTGGGTTTGCATGCCCCCCCGGCAAATAGGCTGGCCACACCTGGTGCCATCCCAAAACTGAGACAGTAAAACCTCTATATGTAGACAATAAAAACATAAATTCTAACACATACAAACAATAAATATTTAAATCTAGAACATTTATACAATAAAATATCAATTGTAAGATGACATATTCACAGTGAAGCTCAAACGTTGGATTGTAAGTGAATGCAGCAGTGGTCTCCATTCTTAATAAAGACTGCATTCCACTTCTGCAGCTATGCAGGCTGCTTGATCTGTAAAACTGCAGAGGAAGAGAACATCGTCGAAATGGAATGCAGCCATCGCAACACAACTGCTTTCCCCCACTCTAGGCTAATAGTCAGCTAGCCAGACAGCAGATTTTTGGAGTGGATTTCAGACTAAATATGGTCCTAAAACCTCAACATTGTTATAGATGTCAGAGTGTACTGTGTGACATCTGTTTACATAGATTGTGTGATTATGTTCATGTATTTTTTTTTTTAATTTTTCCCCGTGTCCTGTCTGGCTGTGAAGCAAACAGAAGTAATGTCTGAATGATGGTAACAAGCCTTACAGATTTACTCTCAGGTGGAGCATCAAAGCTTCTGCTTTAATGTCACGCCTGTTACTTAAAACTTTGTTATTGTGTTTTAGATGCTTTGTTATTCCGACCAGACACGGAGATAGAGGTGAAAGAGAAAGGACGAGACAAAAGGAAGGGGGGTTCCACAAAAATAAACAATCAATGATGAACAAGATTTTGCTTCTAGACCTGCAGAAGGAGAAAAAAAAGAAAAGGGACACACAACAATACAACAGGAGCAAACAATCACTGCGTCAACCTGAAGAGGAAATATAAAATCATTATTGTTTTACTGAACAATCACACAATAATAAATCACAGTGCATTAAGTGCCAACCACAGCCTTAAGATATGTGTTGAAAATGCAAGTCCATACTTATGAGAGCACCACACACGTGCTTGTATATGGGGTCCC